GACGCGGCATGGGTGCTGCCTCCTTCGGGCTTCGGAGCACCTACCACCCAGGGGGACAACCCTCGGAGAGCCAGCTCACCCTGCCCCGGCGAGGGCGGGGATGCCTCCGACGATATGGTGACAACACTGCCCGTCCGGGAGGGCTGCGAACCCCCTCCTCCCCAATTGACTGCTCTTAGGTCGGGCATGTCCCCCTACAGGCAGATTTTGGAGGAGAAGGAAAAGCACCCCAAAAACATCCAAAACCCTTCGAAGGCAGTAGCCCAATAGATATACGAAGATCCTCAAAAACCCTCAAAAGTGGTCGAACAGTCGCCCCCAGACAATCTTTTCTCACTACTTGTGAGTACTCCTCCCGGGGAGGGACACGCCCGACTCGAGACTCCTGCGAGAGATCCCGACGCCGTCGGTGGCGGGGGGGGGGCCGCCGCGCGGCGCCGCGGCGGGGCGGGTCCCAGGCCCGCGGGCCCTGCGGCGGCGCGCCTCGCGCGCGACAGAAAGCGCACACACGCACACGCACACACGCACACACCCACACACACAGACACACACACACACACACACACGCGCACACACGCACACACACACACACACACAAACACACACACACACACACACACAACACACAAACACACACACACACACACACACACCCACACACACACACACACACACACACACAAACACCGTCGGGGCGGCGAGGAGACACGGGTCTAGGGGGCCACATGCGAGCCCTGCCCCACCCTCCCCCTCAGAACTCGTGGGGGGCGGGGGTAGGGTTCGCATGTGGCCCCCTAGGGTCTTGCAGTGGGGGCCCGACCACAAGAAGCGTTCCACGAGAGGCCCAACCCTGAGACCCCAGGGCGTTCGCTGATCTTTGGCGCGGGAGCGCCACGCCCACGCTTCCCTCGCAGAACCATCGAAACTCAAGAAACCCAGGACACCCTGGAGGCAAGCAGGGCGTTTCTTGACATGGGCCTCCACTGTAGTCGAGGAGGGGATGGACTGCAAAACTGATTTACCCAAAAAAAGTTAATCTGTTCGTCGGATCCACGGGAGCAGACGCAGAATGTTCTCGCAGATCTGCCAGAACCCTCTACGTATCTGCGAGAACCCTCTACGCATGCTCTCGCAGATCCGACGAGCACACCAAGCTCGAGATACTCGATTCAGCGGTCTATCCCCGACTCGACTACGAGGACGAGGCCAGGACGAGGAGTCAACGGGGGGCGACGCGAGCACGTCTGGGGACGTCTTCGCCGCCCGGGCGCGCCCCGCGGCGCGGAGGCGCCCGCCGCCGCAGCCGCGCCCTGCGCCGGCCGCGCCGGCTGCGCGCCCGCCGGGCCGCCGCGCCCCGGGGGCCCGGCCGCGTGGGCGCGCGCCGCGGGGCCGAGCCGCGGCGGCGCGCCGGCGCCGAGCAGCGCCGCCAGGGCGAGCTGCCAGCGGCGAGGCGGCGCGGGGCGGCCCCTGGAGGGGCACATCGCTGCGCAGGCCTCGGCTGCACGCAGGAGGTCCCCTGAGGTGCGAGGCTCTCGAGACGCTGCAGCGGCCCTTCTGGGCCACGCTCGGCCAGAGGGCTTCGGAGCCTGCTGAGGAGGCCCGCCACTCTCTCACCTTCCCCTCTGGGCTCGGCGCCCTCAAGGGAGGCCCAACGCATTGCCGAAACATCAAGGCGGAGGTGTTTCGCCACCTTCGGCCTATACAGACCAGAGATCCGATGCCCCGAGCAAACATAGAGCGGCCGGGCTGCTCTCTACCTGCGGAGGCCCTCCACGGGCCCCGGGCCCGTGAAGAGCGCCTCAGCATGCAAGGCCGGCCCTGGGGTCAGTCGTCCAGGCCTCCGGGGGCCTACGCATCGACAAAACTGAAGCGCCACACGCCTGGGGTGGGACCCCCCGGCCACGGCGGCCTATCTGGTGCGCGGCCCGCCGATCGGTGCGTGAGGTGCGGCACGTCCCTGAGGACTGGCGTTGAGGAAACATGCGACATGGCGAAAGACCACGACAGGAGCACTAGGCCCGATTTTCAGAGGAACAAAAAACGGCCTAAACATAAACTTTCGGCGGTCCGCGCGGAGCGCCACAAGGTTTATGTCTTCTGCGCTTTTTCCCGGAAAGGGCGTAGGCCCAGGGTTTTCTTGTAGTTTGTAAACTTGTCCCCGGTGCCTCAACTGAGGTGGGCCGGCAGATTCTTTCCCTGATAATTATCAAAGTCGAGGTGGGCCGGCGGAATAAAATTTGAGGAAGTCTCAGGCGAAACGCTTGTTTTTGAAATCCCGATCGATAAATCACAGGGTTCGGGCCACCTCAGCACGACCACACCCCAGCACGACCACACCCCAGCACGACCCCACCCCAGCAAGACCACACCACAGCACGACCACACCCCAGCACGACCACACCCCAGCAAGACCACACCCCAGCACGACTACACCCCAGCAAGACCACACCCCAGCACGACCACACCCCAGCACGACCCGATCGATAAATCGCAGGTGCGGACCACCCCAGCACGACCACACCCCAGCACGACCCCACCCCAGCACGACCCCACCCCAGCACGACCACACCCCAGCACGACCACACCCCAGCACGACCACACCCCAGCACGACCACACCCCAGCACGACCACACCCCAGCACGACCACACCCCAGCACGACCCCACCCCAGCACGACCCCACCCAGCACGACCACACCCCAGCACGACCACACCCCAGCACGAGCACCCACCCCAGCACGACCCCACCCCAGCAAGACACGACCACACCCCAGCACGACCTCACCACAGCACGACCACACCCCAGCACGACCACGCCCCAGCACGACCACGCCCCAGCACGACCACGCCCCAGCACGACCACCCCCCAGCACGACCACCCCCCAGCACGACCACCCCCCAGCACGACCACCCCCCAGCACGACCACACCCCAGCACGACCACTCCCCAGCACGACCACACCCCAGCACGACCACACCCCAGCACGACCACACCCAGTCGCACCCCCGTGGACTGTTTCGTGGAGTGTCTGGTTGAGTGGTTGCCTGTTCGTGGGGTGTCTCGTGGAATGTTTCACGGGGTGTCTCGTGGAATGTTTCTTGAGGTGTCTCGTGGAATGTTTCGTGAGGTGCCTCGTGGGATGTTTCGCGGGGTGTCTCGTGGGATGTTTCGTGAGGTGTCGCCCAGTTGGGTATCGTGAAAACGTGACCATGCTGCACATGTCTATATCCCTTTCCGGGTTCGTGGGTCCATCATGTTTTCTTCTGCGAATCTTGCGGCGGCATTCCTCAGGCCGAGAATGGGACGCAGAAGACCATACGAGCACCATGTCTCCTCCTGGAAGCCGTGCGTCCGACCCGAACATCGGAAGCAAGCATCGTGTACTATAAATCATATATGGTATAGAATGTATGCACATAGGTACCGATATATATGTAAGTATATGTATATGTATGTATGTATGTATGTATGTATGTATGTATGTATGTATGTATGTATGTATGTATGTATGTATGTATGTATGTTTGTATTTATGTATGTATGTATGTATGTATGTATGTATGTATGTATGTATGTATGTATGTATGTATGTATGTGTATGTATGTATGTATGTGTGTATGTATGTATGTGTATGTATGTATGTGTATGTATGTATGTATGTATATGTATGTATGTATGTATGTATGTGTTGTGCATGCATGCATGCATGCATGCATGCATGCATGCATGCATGTATGTATGTATGTGTGTGTATGTATGGTTGTATGTATGTATGTATGTATGTATGTATGTATGTATGTATGTATGTATGTATGTATGTATGTATGTATGTATGTGTGTGTATGTATGTATGTATGTATGTATGTATGTATGTATGTATGTATGTATGTGCGTGTATCAACATATACATGTATGAAACATATATGTATACATACATGCATAAAAATATAGAACAAGAGAGAGAGAGAGATATCTGAGTGTATATACGCTTCGTTTCCCGAGAGGTATGGCCAGAAAAGGCCCGCCACGGAGCTTATACTTTAAGGCTTCTCGGCGCGCCCGTTCCACCTGGTGGGGCGACACACAAATAGTATGAGGGGCGACGCCGAGAAGACGGCGAAAACCTTTATTTTGATCTTTGTCATCACGTTGGGTCTTCGTGGCGGCCCTTGCCGTTCGGCCCCACCCCAGACATCCGACGCTCCAATGTTCTCGATGCGTGGACCCCCCGAGGTCTGGACGACTTCCCGAGGGCTGGCTTCTCATCCTGAATGGTTTTTCACGGGCCCGGGGCCCGTTGAGGGCCCCCGGAGGCCGAGAATAGCCCAGCCGCTCCATTTCCGCTCGGAGCATAGGATCTCTTGTCTGCAGGCCGAAACTGGCGAAAAACCTCAGCCTTGATGTTTGGCTATACGTTGGACCTCCCTTCGGCGGCGAGCCCAGAGGGGAAGTGAGAAGGAGCGGGCCTTCTCAGAAGGCTCCGAAGTCCTCTGGCCTTCTGGGAACTTGTCTAAGCCTGCCCCGAAGACACAGAAAACTTCTCAGAAGGCCAGAGCGCTTCTGAGAAGCCCCACCGCCTTCTGAGAAGGCCTTCTCCTTCTCTGAGGGGCAACGATAGGGGGGGGACTGGCATAGGGGGGGGGGTGAAACATCGACCTGGAGTCGGCGATACATCGCCGATAGATCGGCGATAGGCCCCCGATATCAAATCTGCAAGTTCCTGAGCAGGTTGGGGCTATCGGGCCCATAACGGCGATGAATGCGCGATTGGGGGTCGTTGCATCCCCTCCTATTCGAGTCGGAGATCGACTACAGAATTGATCTACCCAAAAACTGTGGTAAATCAATTCTGCAGTCGATCCCCTACTCGACCTATTAGTGGCCTCCTAGATGGGATCCGAGTAGATGGGGTCGGAGGATCGCGCCGCATCACCACTGCATCGGCGATGCATCGCCGACGTCGGCGACGCATCGGCGACGTCGGCGTCGAGAAAATCGGGCTCCGCATCGAGCCGCATCGCCGAAGCACTGGCGATGCGGCGCGATCTTCCGATCCCATATGCTCCGACCCCATCTGGGAGGCGTGGACACATGCCTATCCCCCCCTTATCGCTGTGGAAGACGATCGATGGAGAGGAGGGATAAAATTACGAGGAGGGGGCGCCCATCCTCGATGTAGGGGTGTAACTATCCCAGGGTTCCCCATCCTTTTCTTAGCCGCTTCGTTTGTGGATGCCATGGCAATGGACACTCTAACCGCTCGATCCTTGAATTGGAGATGTCTTTAGAATGTCTTCTACATGTGTTAAACATGTTCGAAAACATGTTTCAAGCATGTTTGGGGGCACTTTAGAAACAAATTTTAAACATGCTTCAGACATCTGGAAATTGTTTGACAATACGCCTCCTCTCCTTTCATCGTCTTCCACAACGCTCCATCTGTCGTCGACAAGTCGGGGCTGGGATCGCAAACCTTGCCAGCGAGCCCTCTCTCTCTCTCTCTCCCGCGTGCGGCCGCGCAGGGCTGGCCGCCGCCCCGGCCCGCGCCGGGGGCGCAGCCCCGGGGGCCGCCCGAGCCGAGCTTTTGGCTGCGGATCGTGGGCGTTGGCAACCTGGGAAGCAAACTGTCTGCAACAGGAGCAGATCTGGACAAGATGTGGAAGCTCTCTCTTCAACGGTCCAAGAACTAGAGATCGGAATCATCTTCCCCAGAGGCCTCCCAGATGGGGTCGGAGTAGGCGGGGTCGGAGGATCGCACCGCACCGCCGCTGCATCGGCGAAGCACCGGCGATGCACCGGCGATGCATCGGCGACGCATCGGCGACGCATCGGCGACGTCGGCGACGCATCGGCGACGTCGGCGTGGGAAACACTGGCTTTAGGTCGGGCATGTCCTCCTACAGGGGGATTTTGAACGAAAAATGAAAAATTCAAAGATATTCAAAAATAGCAAGACATAGTCAAAAAATCGTCTGCAAACTATTTTTTGACTATTTTTGACTACTCCTCCTGTAGAGGGACAGGCCCGACGTAATACTGGCTCCACATCGAGCCGCATCGGCGATGCATCGGCGATGCGGCGCGGTCCTCCGACCCCACCTGCTCCGACCCCAGCTGGGAGGCCTAGATCCCCTCGGTGGGGGCACGCCGACGATCGTGGTGTTGGTGCCAAGCCTTAGGTCGGGCGTGTCCTTCTACAGGCCGATGTTGGACGAAACATGAAAAATGCACACACACACACATGTATATATATATATACATGCATACATACATACATACATACATACATACATACAGACAGACAGACAGACAGACAGACAGACAGACAGACAGACAGACAGACATACATACAAACATACACACATGCATGCATGCGTGCGTGCATACATACATACATGCATACATGCATACATACATGCATACATATACATATACATCTACATATACATATACATACAACACTAAACATATACATACATATACATGCATACATACATGCATACATATACATATACATCTACATCTACATCTACGTCTACATATACATACATGCATACATATACATCTACATCTACATCTACATCTACATCTACATATACATATACATACAACACTAAAAAATCGTCCCCATACTATGTTCTGCCTATTCTTGAATCTCCCCCCCTGCAGAGGGGCAGGCCCGACCGGAGCCGAGCCCCAGGCCGCCGACCCTGCGGACCCTGCGACGCCCCAGCGCCCTCTGGAAGACGGGCGCCCGCGCCGAGCCTGCCGGCCCCGAGGCCCGACGCGGCGGAACGAACGGCAGCGCCGCGGAGAGCCTCCACGGGAGCCCCGGGCCCCGCCTCTCCGCCCCACTTCTCGGGCCGGATCGATCTGCGAGGCCGGGGCCCGAGACGGGGCGCAGGCACCCGCTGTGAAAAAACTGCGAGGCCAGGATCGCAGGGGAGATCGGCTGCAGAGGCTGGAGCCCTGGGCCCCGTCTCTCTGCCTCACTTCTCGGGCCGGATCGATCTGCGAGGCCCCCGGGGGCCTCTCACGCGCGTGATCGCCGGGGGCTCTTCCGAACGGGAGCTAGACTTTCGAGAACTCGCGGGAACATTCGAAAACGGCTGGAGAACCTCAGAGACTCGATCCTCCTTCCTTGGACATCGGGAAAAATTCTCATCCTTGGAAAGGTGCTCAACCTTACTATGCGGGTTGACTGTGCCCCACCACCCTTTCCTCATATCCCCCCCCTCGTCGCCCGACCCCCTGCGGGGAGGAGACGGGGCGCAAGCACCCGCTGTGAAAAAAGTGCGAAGCCAGGATCTCAGGGGAGATCGACTACAGAGTCGATGCGCCCCACGCGTCGAGTCTGCGAGCCACACGTCGAATGGTCGTAGATGGGCGCAGCATTCTGCGCATCTTTGCACAAATTCGGCGACAAGTTCAAGCTTCTGGTAGATCCATTGTGTAGACGATCTCCTGCTGGGCGCCGGCGGTAAAACCTTCAACCAAGCTTACCGCCGGTGGACTCGTAGAGCTTCTGTCCGAGCACAGACGCCTCAAGATTCTGGTGAATCAATTCTGTCACTGCACCGACCTTGCAGACGTGCTGCGGCGGATTTTTGCGTGGATTTCTGCCCATGCAAAACCCCGAAACGGCGACTGAAAAACGAAGTGAATTTCGCGTGGGTTTTTTGTTGTCTTCATTCCGGGCCAAAAAAACATCCGCGCGAAATTCACCTCGAGATCCCGAACGAAGTTCTCCAGGACACTCCGGGCCCATCATGTCGCTTTCCGAACAACGTCCACTCTGCGATGCTGGCGCCATGCATTCTGCAGTCGACCTCCCACTCGAGCAGGAGGGGCCACGCGGCGGCGGGCCCGGGGGGGAGAGGTGTGGGAGGGGGGGCTCCTGCCCGAGCACAGAGTCTGTGCTCGGGCCTCAGGATTCTGGCGAATCAACTCTGCAGTCGACCTCCCACTCGAGCAGGGGGGAGGAGGAGGACGACGAGGAGGAGGAGGAGGAGGAGGAGGGGGAGGGGAAGAGGGGGCAGGGAGGAGGGAGGGGGAGAGCAGGGAGAGGAGGGAGAAGGAGGGGAGGAGGAGGAGGAGGAGGAGGAGGAGGAGGAGGAGAGGGGAGGAGGAGGGGAGGAGGGGGGAGGGAGGAGGGAGGGAGGGAGGGAGGGAGGGAGGGAGGGAGGGAGGGAGGGAGGGAGAGAGGGGGGGGGAGAGGCGAGAGGCGTGAGAGGCGTGGGAGGGGGGGCGAGCCTCCCCGGGAGGCCTCGCGGGAAGGCCGGGCCGTGGGAAGGCGCTTCCTGGGCCTTCCCCCCCCGGAGGCGCAGGAGCACCTCTCGGGAAGGACCCGGGGGGCTCCTGAGGTGCCCCACCGCCGTCCGAGGAGGCCTGCCCCTCCTCCTCCTCCTCTCCTCCTCCTCCTCCTCCTCCTCCTCCTCCTCCTCCTCCCTCCTCCTCCTCCTCCTCCTCCTCCTCCTCCTCCTCCTCCCTCCTCCTCTCTCCTCCTCCTCCTCCTCCTCCTCCTCCTCCCTCCTCCTCCTCCTCCTCCTCCTCCTCCTCCTCCTCCTCCTCCCTCCCTCCTCCCTCCTCCTCCTCTCTCTCCTCTCCTCCTCCTCCCTCCTCCTCCTCCTCTTCCTCCTCATCGCCCCTCCCTCCTCCTCCCTCCTCCTCCCTCCTCCTCCCTCCTCCGCCGCCCCCCGTTGACTCCTCACAAGGGTGCCTGGCGTGCTAGATCCTACGGGTTTCGTGCTGGTTCTTTTCCAAGAAGAACTCCCCCTGGGGCTCCGGCCCAGCGCGCCGCGCCGGCATGCCTTTCCCGCTCCAAGATGTCCCAAGATGGCCTCCAAGACGGCTCAGATGGCCCGAGATGGCCTCAAAGCTCGCTCAAGAAGGTCCAAGATGGCCTCCAAGACGGCCCAAGTAAGTCCAAGATGCCTCCAAGTTCGCCCAAGAAGCCTCCAAGACGGCCCAAGATAGCTCCAACATGGCCCAAGACGCTCCGAGACAACCCCAAGAGGCATCCAAGACGGCCAAGAGGCCTCCAACAGGGCATCCAGGAAGGCCCGAAGAGGCCAAAATCATTAATTTCCCATAGGTGTTTCAAGGATTTGGGCATTTGCTTCTTGTCGGCCTTCCCACGGCCCGAGACGGCCCCAGAGCCCCAAAAGATCGCCCCAAGATCGTCCAAGAGGCCTCCAAAATGGCCCCAGAACGGCCCAAGAGGCCCCCAAGACGGCCCCAAGAGGGCCCCAAGACGGCCCAAGGCCTCCGAGACGCCCAAGATGGCATCCAAGACGGCCCTGGAACACCCCAAGAGGGCCTCCAAGACGGCCCAGAGAGGCCCCCAAGACGGCTTTCGACGGCGGCAGACGGGCCAGGAGGCCATCAAGACGGGCCAAGATGGCTCCAACATGGCCCAAGACGGCCCAAGAGGCCCCCAGAAGGTCTCCAGAGCGGCCCAAGAAGCCTCCAACAGGGCCTCCAGGAAGGCCCGAAGATACCAAAATCATTGGTTTCCCATCGGTGTTTCAAGGATTTTGACATTTGCTTCTGTTCGGCCTTGCCACGGACCGAGACGGCCCCAGAGCCCCCAAAAGATCGCCCCAAAATTGCCCAAGAGGCCTCCAAAATGGCCCCAGAACGGCCCAAGAGGCCCCCAAGACGGCCCCAAGAGGGCCCCAAGACAGCCCAAGAGGCCTCCAAGACGCCCAAGATGGCCTCCAAGACAGCCCTGGAGCACTCCAAGAGGGCCCCAAGTCGCCCCAGAGAGGCCTCCGAGACAACTTCCAATGGCGGCAGACGGGCCAGGAATGCCCCAAGACTGCCAAGGAGGCCTCCGAGAAGCCCCCCAAGAGGCCCCAGGAAGCCCCCTAAGATGCCTCCAAGAGACCCCCAGGAAGCTCCCAGCAGGCCCCAAGAGTGCCCCCAGACCCTCCCAAGACTCCCCCTCCTTTTTCCTCCTCCTCCTCCTCTCTCCTCCTCCTCCTCCTCCTCCTCTCTCCTCCTCCTCCTCTCCTCCTACTCCTCCTCCTCCTCCTCCTCCTCCTCCTCCTCCTCCTCCTCCTCCTCCTCCTCCTCCTCCTCCTCCTCCTCCTCCTCCTCCTCCTCCTCCTGATCTTCCCCGCCATCCTCCGCCAAGTGTTCCCCGAAGGGTTTCCACACGGCTGGGGGAACACACGGTCCGATAGCTTGACAGAGCTCTTGCCACAACGCTCGGCCACATGGGAGATTCCAAAAGGCAGGGAGCGGCGGTGACTCACCGTAAGCGTCTTCGACACAGAAAAATGTCTCCTGGGGCCTCCTGAAGCCTCCTGGGGCCTCCTGGGAGCGGGGGAGCCGAAAAGCGCTCCCCGAACACATGTACCTATACAGAAAAGTGTCTCCTGGAGCCTCCTGAGAGCGGAGGAGCCGACTAGAAGCGCAGGGCCTCCCGGGGCCTCCTGGGGGCGGAAGGGCCGAAAAACGCTCCCCGATCACATATCTCTGGAGCGTCCTGGCGCCTCCTCCGTGGCCTCCGCTAGTAGCGGCAGAACTGACGAATTCCCCTGTGCTGCTGAATTGCCGGGAAGTCTCCGGCGAAACGGCCGTTCCGGCATCCGCGAGTAGCAGCAAGAATGCTTTGAAGGACCAACTTGTGGTACTGAATTGCGAAGAAATCTGAAGCGAGAAAGCCGTTCTGGCATCCGCGAGTAGCAGCAATCTGATTCTAAAGGACCCCCTGTAGTGCTAAATTGAGCCAGAGTCTCAAGCGAAACGGCCCTTCTGGCACCCGCAATGGGCGGCAAGACTGCTGCGGCAAGACTGCTCTGGAGGACCCCCCTGAAGGGCCTCCACAAGTAGCGGCAACAATGCTCTTACGGATTCCACTGTACTGTGGAACTGTGAAGAAGTCTCCCGCGGAACGGAGGTTCCGGCATCCGCGAGTGGCAGCAAGAATGCTCTGGAGGACCCCCGTGTGGTGCTGAACTGCGAAGAGGTCTCAGGCGAAAAGGCCGTTCTGGCATCCGCGAGTTGCAGCAACTTGGTTCGGAAGGACCCACTTGGGGTGCTAAATTGCGACGCAGTCTCAGGCGAAACGGCCGTTCGAGCATCCGCAAGTAGCGGCAAGACTGCTTTGAAGGATCCCCCCCCTTGTGGTGCAAAATTGCGAGGAAGTCTCAGGCGAGAGCGCCCTTCCTGAGGTTCGGACCCTCTCTGGCCAGGGCCTCTTGGAGTAAGCTGTGAGGAGGTATCGCACGGGAGAGTTGATATTGGGGGGCCAGTTTAGGCGCAACCCCGAAACGCTTGAGAGTGAGCCTCAATTTCAAAGGAAATGCAGCCTGCGCCGAGACAAGAGCGCCAAAGCGGATATAGGGGGTCCAACTATAATTCATGAGAAAGAATAAACGGTGTGCGAATCCAACATTAATCGTGATTATCTGCTCGCGTGTAACTCAACATGTATATCCCAAACCCTCGATACCCGCCCTCTGCGTCTTGGATCAAACACACCCCTGGGGGGCATATCTTCCTTACCTGCCACGTGGAGTTGGCGCAGCCCCTAGAACAGTGGAGGGGAGGAAGGACGGGACGACGGGGAGAGAAAAGGATGGAGCACGACTGAGAATAGCAGGAGGGGGGTCAGCAGCAGAAAAACCGATGTGCCAAGGCTCCAAAAACCTGCGTGTCAAGGCTCAGTCCACCTCGTCGTAAAAAAAACCTTCGTGCGTTCAAAAGGGTTCTTGTTTCCCTCCCCCCTTCTAACCCTAAATTCCTAAATTCCTCTGTTCGGGCTTTTGGATTAGCAGGAGGGGGGCCAGCAGCAGAACAACCAGCGGCAGAGCCAGAAAAGCGGGGATAGGGCGGGCCCGGGCCGGGCGGGCGGGCCCGGCCGGCGGGTCCGAGCGGGCGGGCCGCCGAGGCGTCCGTCCTGCGTGCATCGCGAGGAGGTCTCGAGCGGCAGCGCAATGCCCACGGACGTCACAAGAATCTTCACCGCGGAACCCCACTTCGCCCACGCACTCGGGGACATCAAATGACCGTCCTGCGTGCATCGCGAGGAGGTCTCGAGCGGCAGCGCAATGCCCACGGACATCACAAGAATCTTCACCGCGGAACCCCACTTCGCCCACGCACTCGGGGACATCAAATGACCGTCCTGCGTGAGTCGCGAGGAGGTCTCGAGCGGCAGCGCGATTCCCACGGACATCACAAGAATCTTCACCGCGGAACCCCACTTCGCCCACGCACTCGGGGACATCGAATGACCGCTCGGAGTGGGGTCCACGCTGGCACACATGCTGGCATTTTTTCCGCCAGCACGGGCTCTTCGCTTGGAGCGTCAGATGTTGGCGTGCTTGGAGACGTCCTCGTTGGGCCGTACCAGCTGCAAAAAGGAGAGAAGCCGCTTCATGCCCATCACGAACTCCTTCGACTCTTCTGTGTCGAGGATGTTGGACCTGTCCTGCATGACCTTCTGGCCGTTGCGCGGCGCCTTCGCGCAGCCGGTCTGCCCCTTCAGCGAGAAGCTCCCGTGCCACTTGCCGCTTCCGATGGTCAGCTCCACGTACGCCTGGTTGGCCGCCTGATACTCGCGCTCCACGGCGAGCGTGGCGACACGATCCAGAGCCTCGACGTCGGCCTTGTCCAGCTCCTTCGGCTGCGCCTTCCTCACACGACCCTCCAGCTGGTCGGGCGCGAGCCACTTCTTGGCGCTCCCGTCGCAGAAAGAAACGAGCAGGGAGCCGGCCGGCATCACGCAACCGTCCGCAGGCGTCTTGCTGCCGCTGACCGCGGTCTCCTCCTCCAGGATGTCCAAGACCTTGCCGTCTTTCATCCACCGGCAGTTGCCGACGCTCCACACGTGCACGGCCTCGTTCCTGAAGTAGTGGCATGAGGCAGCCCGGATTTTGGCGAGCAGCCCGGCCATGGCCCGCTCCGTCTCCAGGAGCTGCTCCTGCTTCCCGAAGCGGGCGCTCCCGAGCAGCGCCGCGCTGCCCGAGCGCAGGCCCCGGCGCCAGTCCTGCAGCGCGGCCTCGGCCCAGTGCGCCAGGAAGCCCATGGGGTCCGCGAACGCCTCCAAAGGGGCCCAGGGACACACAAACAAACAGACTCAAATCCCGGGACTCCCCATACCTTCCCACATCCTCTGGGAATCGACGACGAAGTGTGTCCGTGTGTTTCTTGCCCCTCCTGAGCATCGTTTAACCGATCCCCATCCCCAGCGGCGTGGCCTGGGCCCCGCTGGCCGAGTTACCCCCCCCCTAGATGGGGATGTAGGCCGCTCCCTCTGGGCTTCGAGGGGTGCATCCCCAACGGGGGTGGCAATCTGGTGGGGCCTTCGAAGGGGATGGGGATGGGGATGCGGATCGGTGGAGCGATACCGATGTCCGTGCGCTTGTTCTGCCCCTCCCGAGCCTCCCTCGGCGGCAGATCGCCGACGCCGCGCGCGGGGGGCGCGGGGGCGTCCTCCGCTTGCTGCTCGGGCCCCGGCGCCTCCCCGGCGGGGACCGCCGGGGCAGCCGCGCCGGCCAGCGTGCACTCGAGCCCGCGGCAGAGGCCGCGGCAGCACGCGTAGCCCCAGCGCCCCGTGGGCGCGTCGTACCAGGAGCCCCAGACCTCGAGCAGGGGCTCGACTGCAGGGCTCCCAGGCATGATCGCGTCGTGAAGAATGCGGGACGGAAGTTTGTCACTATCTTCGGCCCTTGGGGGCCCTCGCTGGGCCTCGGGACCATCAAAAAACGACGCAGGATGAAAAACCGGCCCCGGGGAAAGGGTCTGGACTCCCGGGGACGCCGCACTGAAAAAATCAGGGCGTCGCATGTCTGGGTTGATTTACCCCCACATTGGTTTGGGCGTCGAATCTGGGGCAACTGCGACGTCTCTTTCCTGCAGGCTCGACGAGGTAATCACTGTTGGAGAACCAGAAAAGTCTGTCGTCGACCCCCTGCTCAAAGACCTCGCCGTGGCCGAGCTCGCGCGCGTCCTCCGCGTAGCAGGACTCCGCGAGCCGCCGGGCCGCCGCGGGGCCACCCTCCCCTCCTGCGCTGGCGTCCTCCTCCTCGGACTCGTCGTCCTGGCCCGCGGCGTCCTCCTCGCCCGCGCCTTCGGCGCCACTGGCGCGACGGGCGGCCTCGCCGCCGCCCTCGGCAGCGCCCCCGGCGGCCCTGGCGGCTCGCCGCGCGTCCCGCCTGGCCCGCTTGGCCTCCCGCTCCCGCCTGGCCTGATCCTTCCGCCGCTTGGCGTCTTCAGAGGAACAAAGGAAGGCATGAGCATCAATTCTCGGAGCTCCGCGCGGACTTCGTCGAGCGGCGCTGGACTCCTCCATCCCGCCATCTCTGGCACCCGGAGCGCGCCGGGGGCGACGCCGGGGGCACCGCCAGAGGGGGCCCACCGCCGATCCAAGAGATCCGCGCAGGGCGCCGAAAGTTCATGCGTATGCCATCGTTTCTTCTTCGAGCCTTCTTTCCTCAGCCTCGCCTCCATCACGGCCTTGGAAGGATAAGCCAAAGGCACCAATACCGCCACTCCCTGGACCTCTCCTGGGGTGCGTTCCGCCAGAAATTCGACAGGGAGTCCAGCGGTGGCAAGGAGGGCTTCGCAGGAGGCTCAAACAAACGGAAACGAGCGGAAACGAGGGAAGGGCAGCGGTAAAGATATCTTCCCTGATGCTTCCCACACGCGGTCCCCAGGAGTAGCGACCCTGTCTCTGGGACCGGCTTCTCATCCCGAGTCGTGGCCAAAAACTATGGTGGAGGAGGAGGAGGAGGAGGAGGACAGGGAGGAGGTGGAGGGGGAGGAAGGGGAGGAGGTGGAGGGGGAGGAGGGGTAGGAGGAGGAGGATGAGGAGGAGGAGGAGGAGGAGGCAAAGGAGGAGGACAGGAGCTGGAGGGGGAGGCGGAGGAGGAGGAGGAGGAGGAGGAGAAAAAGAAGTAGTAGGAGGAGGAAGAGGAGGGGATGAGGGGGAGGGGGAGGGGGAGGGGGAGGGGGAGGGGGAGGGAGGAGGAACTTAGGAACTCAGGGGGCTCACGCAGGAGCGAACCGCATCCAAGCGAAAGGGGGGCGTAGCCCCCGACTTGCCACCAGGCAACGTCCGACGAGGTGCGCGCGCCAGACACGGCCCCCGACCCTGCTTGCTGGAGTCGCAGCGCCAGCCACAGCCACAGCTAGGCAGAGTCGGGTTCTGTCCCTGGCGTGGGCTTTCGGGAGGTACCACCCCCCTGAGCAACCCCACGCGCGCGGATCAGCTCCTCCCGAGCCTCCTTGTCGCTCGGCGCCGCCAGCGCCTGCTTGGCCACCAAACCCATGAGATGGTCGAACTTCTTCAGCGCCTCCGCGTCGACGCCCGCTCTACGAAGGCCGACTTGAGGCTCTCCACCATCGCCTTGTCAGCATCCCGGTCGTCGGCGCCCTCTGAAAGGCTGATCTGGCTGCTCTCATCCAGCGCCGCAATTCTTTTCTGTTTATAATTATCCGTCTTTGCCTTCTCTTCTTGCCCACCACGGCGACCTGCTGCCCAGGCTGAGCCTCCACCGCATCCATGTAGTCTTCCCCGTCGCTGAAGGCCGTCCAGCACGTGCGCACCGAATCCTTGCTGCTCACATCGCAGTGGGCCCCTCGCGCGCTTTTTCTTGATTTTCCCGGCCGTAAGGACCTCTACGGCCGGAAAAAAATGCGTGCTGCCTCACATCCTCATGCTGGCGCACGCAGATTTCCAGACACCTTGTACCCGGTAGGGCCTCCAGCACCGCATGCACGGTCTCCTCGTTGTACATCTCCACCGCTTGAGCTGCACCACCACCGCAGGGTATTCCATCGCGTTGTCCAGGAGATCTTGCCTTGCTCCCAGCCAACCCGAGGAAGGACTCGCGTGCTCCTTCGCCTCCATGTCCTGCTTGGCCTGCTTCTCCACGATAGTCGTCTTGTCCTTCACGTTGTGCGGCACCACCACTGGTTGCACCCAAGGTTTGCGGATCCAGTCCATCATCTCGCCGGCATCGCCGAAATTCGTCGGTGACACCTGTTTCCACGGTCCCGAAAACAGTGGTGTCGCCGACCCCGCCGATGCCCGCTTCGCATCTGGCATCCGCTTCGCAGCTGGCGTTGTGTTCCCCGTCGTCGAGGGCGCCCCCGATGCAGTAGTGCTGACCTCGACTAAGACCTTGTGCCGTGACCGCAGGATCGGGACCCTCTATGGCGGCGCCAAAGGAGCCGCCGCCATGGATGTCCAGAACCACAGACTCGATCCTCTTGCCGCTGGCCCTCTCCAGCGCCTCTGCGAAGCGCCCCACGGACCCTCCCAGGACGTCGCCGACGTCCTGCTTCCTGGCCCGCACTTCGAGCTTCGTGCCATCGCGGGCTCGGGGCGGCTGCGCCCCTGTCAAGTGCGCCACCCTCAAGGGCCCAACCTCGGGCCCGACAAAGGCTAAAAGGGCGAGGAGGAGGAGGAGGAGGAGGAGGAGGAGGTGAGGGAGGAGGAGGAGGAGGAGGAGGGTGAGGAGGAGGAGGAGGAGGAGGAGGAGGAGGAGGAGAGGAGGAGGGAGGAGAGAGGGGGGGGGAGGGGGATGGGGGAGGGGGAGGGAAGAAGGAGGAGGACGAGGAGAAAGAGGATGAGGGAGGAGGAGGAGGAAAGGGGAGGAGGAGGAGGAGGAGGAGGAGGAGGAGGAGGAGGAGGAGGAGGAGGAGGAGGAGGAGGAGGAGGCCGAAGGAGGAGGAGGAGGAGGAGGAGGAGGAGGAGGAGGAGGAGGGCCTGGGCCGCCCGCTCGGACCCGTCTGCGGCGCCCTCCGCAGCCTGCTGGCCTCCCCCGCCGGGTGCAGCTTCGCCTTCCGGCGGCGGCGCCTCGGCCGCCGGCGCCGCCAGCGGCGGCCCCGCCCCCGCGGCCACCGACGAGGGCAGCAGCCGCCACACGTCGCCTCACGACGACGACGACGACGACGACCACCACCACCACCACCACCACCACCACCACGACGACGAGGACGACGACGAAGACGACGACGACGACCACGACGACCACCACGACGACGACGACGACGACGGCCACGACGACGACGGCCACGACGACGACGACGACAACAGAACAGAACAGAACAGAACAGACGACAGAACTGACGGAGTACAGTCAAAACTAATAGCAAGGATGCGCGATGAGGGTGCAAGTCCTTTGGGCGCCCATGTCGAAGCTCTGCGAACGGCGTTGGCCATCGAGAGTGGTTACAGGGGTGGACTGGAGAGGCAAGGATGCAAGGGCACCCTTGGGGAAGTGACCCATCCTTACTGCCGGTTTCGACTGTAAGCCCAGACGGAGACCGAGAACCCCGTATGGGTCTACTCCAGATGGACTTGGCCTCCTGTCAGGAGAGGCTAAGTCCAGGCAGCGTAAGCCCAGATGAAGACTGAGCACTCCGTATGGACCTGCTCCGTATGGGCTTAAAACATCCGCAAAGTCGCCGTCGCTCCACTCCAGCCGGCCGCCGCCAGGGGCGAGCCTTCACGAGCGGCGAACACATCCGTATCCGCACCC